ATTCAAATTGCAAACACATGAGGAGAGCATGAAAGACCCACAACTGGCAGATGAACGTGCTCTCCGAAACGGTAGGAAATAAAATTAGATAGAATGGAGGATTTTAACTGTGACAAGATGATTGACAGTTTACGGTGACAGGATGCACGCAGCACGCGACAGAGCTGTCCGTTAAAGATGACGTGATAGTATGTCCCAAAGCTTGCCTACTCTTTTGCTACACACTCAAAAGTATGTACTTTTTCCTCACAAAAAGAGTACATACTTTTAGGGCGTAGTATAAGTAGGGGAATTGGGACGCAGCAGCAGTGTTGGTGTGCCGCCAGGAACAGGGTTGGAAAACACTGATTTAGATGACGGCCTAGGATCGCATATAACCCTACCCCTACCCCAGACCTAAACCTACCCGCGTCATCTAGCTGACGCTTTCCTTTAGCGTCAGTTAGATGACGCCGTACATTGCGTCATGTAACTGACGCTAAAGGGCGCCTAAAGCGTCAAATATTGAAGCATGGTCAAAGGTGACGCCTTGGCAGAAAATACATAATTCACAGCTAATATTTTAAATAAACATTTTTTTTTATTTTCTATCCGCAAAATAGTAAATGAATTTTGAGGCACACAGCTGTTTGTTCTGCCTACTTTGGAGGTTCTGTGACACTTTAGAGACAAACTAGAATGCATTTGTATATATATTTGAGGAGAGAATTTGTCGCTCATTTTACAGGAGACAGTCTTTGAGAAGCAGACGGAAGAAAGAAGCCAAGATCTGGCAGACTCTGAAATATAATAGATGGATTTGTGCAAAGGCTTGGGAGGGGAGCTCATGATGAGAGTAAGAAGAATAGAATGGCTGTCGTATAGACACCGAGAAGAGGATTTAATGAGTATGTGCTTGTATGGGGAGGGATGAGAGAAAGATGGAGATTTGATGAGCAGTAGCAGCGTTACTGTTGCCACCGTCTTCTCGAGCTCCCTCACCCCCAAACCTCTCTTTTTCTCTTTCTCTCGCAATCCTTCTGTGTCACCCAGGAGAGGAATGCACATCTGCTTAACATGCAGCTGATATAAACAACCACACACACAGTGACTGGGAAGGATGGTGTTTGCTCCAGTGTGGCACATTGCAGACAGCCTGTTTTAAAGGGGTCTGAATTGACAAAATGTTTACATTCACTGTGAAAATGATCCTGTTAAATGTAGGCTATAGACAAAATGAGAAAATGGATTTTAATGATGAAATAGAATAGACTATTTTGCCAAGAAAATGACCAAGGGCATAAGCTTTCTATAATTGAAGAGTTCAGATGCAAAAGCCTCTAAATGCCATTTGAAATTTTCTTCTTTAATGATGATTTTTATCAAATTTGTATATTTAAGTTCAGTAATTTCACTTAAATGGCAATGATAATTACCTATTAAATGTTATTTAAGTGAAATTACTGAACTTAAATATACAAGTTTGATAAAAATCATCATTAAAGAAGAAAATTTCAAATGGCATTTAGAGGCTTTTGCATCTGAACTCTTCAATTAGTCTCCTATAGCATTTTAGTTAAAGGTGAATTGTGCAAGTCTCTGAGTTTTTGCAGAACTACGCCCCCTCTGGTGACAAGCGAAACTGCAACCAGAGGTGTGCACGCTCATGGACCACACTCACACACACACGCACACTTGCGAACTGTTCATAACCAAAGGAGCATCAGCTGCACAAATTTTTGTTACAGTCATAATGTCTTCAGAAGTAATAAAGTTTTAAATCTGCAAGTCATTTTAAATATGAAATAAAAGACATATGAAGGTAAATTACACACTTATGCGTAAGGTGATAGAGTAGAAAACTTTGCTTCTTGTTTCCATCTATCTCCAAGTTGAACTGTTTTGTGCTTTTGTGTGTTTAGCTTCCCGATGTTGACTCGTGTCTTACTCTGTCGCCTGGCACTAGACAAAAGTTTAATTTTCTTTGTCTTACGTGGACTTTGCATTGGGGTTTTGAATGAATTACAAGCCGGTCACTTTGAATCCATCTTCTATTTTTGTTGAAAGTTGACTAAAGTTTTGTCGCTCGAGTTGGCGGCGAATACACAAACCTGCCAGACATAGCCGTGACGTCACACCCAGTTTTAAATTCTGTCCCGAATCCTTATTCATTTTACTGGACAGGATTATAGAGGCAATCGCAGTGATCAGAGAAGGGCTCATTCAGCCCATCAGGCAATTGTTTAAGCATGTATGGGTTCGAAAAATGGGTATTTTAAACATGAAATGTTGCGCAATGCACCTTTAAGGACAGTCTGCTTCTGATAGTCACATTTTGATTGGCACATTTGACAGCTCAAGAATGCAGCTCTACTGAGTAGGCTAAAGGTGCAATATTTTGTTTTTTCATGTTTAGAGGGCTAGATAATTTGCTGTCGTTAGTTGATTATTTCAATGTATTGTTATTGTTTAAAGACAGGAAATTGTTATTGTTTGTCATCATTGCAGTTCATTCTCTCACTTACCATCAAATTATGCATCTGTTAAACGGGTTGTAATGAGTGTAAGTTAGCGAAGAGGTGTTTTATAAAGTAAAGCAGACAGTTAATTACTTTTGGTGGTAGTGGTACCATGGTAATCATGGTAAAACCACTCAAATTGTGTATCTAAGAAATATTTATATCTGGTATGTATGTATGCATGTAGCCTAATGTTATTTAATGCATTGCCATGTAGCTTTTATACTGTATATGTAATAGATAAATGTATTTCGATTTTTTTTCATAATTGTAGTAGCAACGTGTATGTTTATGGTCTAACAAATATCTGAATGGGCCACATATTTTTTTCTAGCTGGGGATACTTTGTGTTACATCATCACCCCCCAGACACCCACTCATCAGTGCTCAGCTGGGGCCAGTGGGATGCCATTTATATGGGATGCCTGTATATTTTACAACTAATAAACATATATTTCATCACATTTAGTGATATAATGTTATTATACCAATCTACTTCCAAAACGTGTAAATATGCCAGAGAGTTAGACGTCAAATTTACTTGTCTTTTGGATGTCTAATATTTACAAGTAAAAACTGAGTATATAATTAGAATTTACTTAAAAGTTTTCATTTTTATCAAATTATTCTTAGCAAAAGATACATGATTTTTCCTGTTTTATTTAATTTGCCATAAAATCATTTTTTTTCTTTTACAGTGGTTAAACGACAATGGTTTTCCCTAAGTACTCCCACAGACTAAGATTTCTCTGGATTCCTGGATCATGGTAGATGTAAGAAGACCTTTTCTGCTATCTTGCATTGAGAAATGTGATTTTTGAATTGATTGACAATTCCTCGCCTATTACCAGTTCACATTGTGGACTGCTTCAAAAGAGATTAACTTGTACATTATATAATCTTTTTTACTTTTATTTTACAATTTGTTTATATTTACAAAATAAAATTATGTTTTGAAAGAGAATTAACAAACCACAGATTATTATTGATTTTATTGCATTTTACTAAATGTCCCAACTTTTCTTGGTTTGGGGTTTTACAATGTCACTTTGCATTAATTCAAATGAATAGGCCTACATTTAATTGTTTATTGGTGGAAAATATATAAATTGTATTGTGCATTATGTTATAAGTTTGAAAATATGTCAACTTCCACTGAGTGACATGCGCTTCAGTAACACCAGTGATTTGATGACAAAAAGAACATTGCCATTAGTACTTGGTCAGTTTTGCTGGTGTCTTGTTTTATCAGAAGTGACAGGTAGGTTGCCTATAGAGTTCAACAAGCATTTCTCAAATACTCACTTTCCTTTAGGAGCCTTGTAAACAGTGTGTGTGCGTGTGCATGTCTGTCTTGGTGGGTGCACGTGCCTATGCTTATTTATTTCTCATTGACAAGTAAGCCTGATAGGTGTAATTAAGTGTGTATGCTTTGCAACTGATCAAATCTCTAACCTACTTACTATGAGAAATATTCAACAATTCCTAAAAATAAGCTGACATTCTTTCCATTCTGTCATCATTACATCCTTTCAGATTGCCAAGTTTTCAGTGTCACTTTGGCCTCTTCATGGCAGCGTGATCTCAGAAAGAGTGTGACAGCAATAAGCAAAGATATACAGAGAAGAGGGAAGCAGAAGGAAGAAGAGGCCAGGCGTAGTAAATATTTATGAAGGGATGGCTGATGCTTTCTGGCTTGGTGGTGCGGCGCATTGAAGTACATTAACAAACGCAGTAAGCATTCTGCATGAATCTTTTATATGCTTTGGAGGTCAACGACAATAAAAGACAACAAAGGATTGCAGCAAGCACACACAGCAACCCTGAAATCAATCAGCTGTCAGCCCCCTTCACTCTCTGCAGACCAATCCAAAGATCTTATGTGAAAGAAAACAAAATAACGTGTACAAGCTGGATTTGGATATACTGAGAGGATATTCTAGTATGTGCTAATGCATTTGTTGAAATTTAGCCTTTTAATTGTAATTAAATAAAAACATAATTTTTGTCATTTATTCTGTTTTTCGAGGCATTTATAAGATAAAACTGACTAAAACTTAATTTAGTTTTAGAACATATTTACAATTTAAATAAAAAATTTAATCAATAGTCTTTCTCTTACAAACAAATACATCAACACATATTTTTTAAATGACCACTTTGGTATGTTTTGCCCAAATCTCCTAATTCAATAGGTAATTTGTCAGCAGGAAATACATCTGTACTTTTTAAATGATTTCATTGGGCCTCTACATTTTTTTTATTTATTTTTTTATTTGATTGACAGCACTAGTATTGAATGTAAACAGCATTATTTAAATAGTGTGGTGTTTTGATATAGAATTGGCGAAAAGTGAAAATTTGCTTTTAAAGACCATACAAGTTTGATTAAACCATAAAAATGTGGAAAATATTTTATTTATTTTAAATATGAGGAAATAAAACAACACTAAATTTAGTTAAGGTATAATCTGACAAAATTATTTGACAAAAACAAACAAACAAAGGGCAAACCATAGGGTTTTATTTTACCATTTAAGAAAAATCTGCATGGAAAAACAAGACTCACAAACAAAGCACACATTAACAACAACATAATCAGTTATTGATATTTTGTTGGTTCTCTTTGTTTGCATGAAATCATAATTTCGATGACAGCCTGGGCAAAGATTAGCCTTGTCTGCAAATTTGGCATGTTTCATTGTGTTAATTACAAATTAAAGAATTGACTCCGCAATTACAAAAATCTTTAACTTTTTCTAAAATTTGAAAGAAAAAAAATGTTGAGAATGTGAATTTTAGGTGTTACATGCATCCAGATCCAAATGCAGCTTTGAGTGTAATCCATAAAACAGGCAAAAGGTCAAAACCACAGAATAAACCATGCATAACAAAACTCCAAGGCAAATACAAACAGGGAAATCCAGGGAGACCGGCAAAAGATCAAGACCATGCCACGGAAACCAGAAGCCAGCTGTCATGGCCACCACGCCAGAGCCTCTATACAACATGGCCGCCACACCAGAGTCTTCAGCTGTCCTTGCCACCACGTCAGAGCCGATGCCCTGTCCAAACGCACCGGAGACAGTCAGATAAATTCTGCAGAACCAGAAGGTCTGGACTCCATCGCAGCTTTCCTTGGCCAAGGATCGCCAAAGAGGACGTTTGACTGACATGTATCGCAACCAATCACATTTCGTTTAGTTATGCGTCATGTAAAATGTAAATTCGATGTCCCTACGATAACAGACTGGCATGCATCAAATAAATGATTCATTCAAGAACAAGTTTACTGCAACAGTTCAGCCTGGTAAGCGCTCAATGCCGCTTTCTTCTACCACAAGGGGGTTTGGCGTTACAAAGACTTTGTTTCCAGGCGGACAGCAAAAGAACCCAACAAACACATCTCCCGGACATCGACCAATCAGATGACCACCTTGAAAATCCCGAAGAGTTTCCAATTAGAGTTCCATATCCGACGTTCAGCCAATGGTCCATGGTCGTATCTCAGCAGACAGGAAAATCTATGCAGACAATCCATAATTGTAAACTATAATCATTATAAAACAGGCATAAGGTCAACACCACAGAGCAAACCATCCATATAAGAATAAAAGTCCAAGGCACAGGCAAACAGGGAAATCCAGGGAGACGGGCAAGTGACCATGACCATGAAACCAGAAGTAGCACTCAGAAATAAACAATTTAAACAATGGGTTTAATTTGGTAAACATAAGCGAGACAATGACAAACAGGTGGCAGTAATCCGTACATAATGTGTCCAGGAAATGGGATATGGGAAATGTATAAAGAGATGGGAGGAGTGTTCTTGCATGATGTGTAACACTAGACCGGACATCACTTTTGACCACTACTGTATTATATTTAAAGGGATAGATCAACCACAAATCAATCTCATATTGTTCAAAACCTTTATGACTTTATTTCTTCTGAGGGACATAAAAGAAGATTATTTGAGAAATGTCTTCATATTTTTGTCCATACAATGAAAATCAATGGTAATCTTTTTTTCATGAGAGTGAGTAAATGATGACATAATTACATTGTGGATGGACTATCCCAACGAGAGAATTACAAATTCGAAGTGTACTGTACAATATTCTGGAACTGTCTCATATTCTCTGATGTGTTGGAATGTTATTGGATTTATTGCATTCAATCATTTCTATCCACAATCCTCTCTATTTCTATTAAATGTTTTTCTTTTCCATTACGGTGATAATCAAAAAAGGACATGCACCAGAGCATCAAAAGAGAGCCTCATCATTCTCTAAGAGGAAAGAAGCTGAAGTGGACTATAAATATCCAGGATCTATCTTATTTCTGTCGTTCAGTCTTCTTTGTTGAATTACTGAAACTACAAATACATCAAGAATAATGCTCTATTTCCTACACACACACACACACACACACACACACACACACACACACACACACACACACACACACACACACACACACACACACACACACACACACACACACACACACACACACACACACACACACACACACACACACACACACACACAATAAGATAACATCAGCCATCTTTGTGTTGAGTGCTTTTTTCCTCTCACTTGTAATTCTTCTTCAGCTGTGGATGAGCAAAGAAACTGCAGTCCCTGAGGATTACACTGACTGTGGAGACTCAAGAAGACTCTGAATGGACTATTTTCCAGACCCAAGACTGCCCTGTCTTCAAGATTGTTTTGGCATTCAACAAATTTATAGAGGGAAACAGATTTTATAGGAATTATATTAAATCTCATACGCATTCTAATTTGCAGCTGCATGAGTCTAACTGGTGAAGCCATGGACCATACCATAGTATATATATATATATACAGTGTTGGGAGTAACGCATTACAAAAGTAATACATTACAGTAACATATTACTTTTTGCTGTAACGCAGTAGTGTAAGGCATTACTAATCAATTTTCAGTAATATTTTACTCGTTACATGTTCAGTGAGGCTTGTATTACAGTTGTATTACAGTGTATTGTCTGCTTTTACTTCTTAAAGGCAACAGACTATGTAAAAGTTTTAAAGCAGTCTTTTAGTGCCAGTTCAGAGCGGTCGCGTCTGTAACATTGTTTTTTCCTCATAAATGCGAACACGAAAACTAAAAATAAAATTAATATTTTAAGTTCTATGGTTACTGGAGAGCCAACCCTTCCTCATCCGATTTGCGCAGTGTAATTAACAGAATTACAAAAAATATATTTTCCCTCCTATTTTTTTGTCACGCATAAATGTGTGTCTTTTCCCGAATATTAAAAATAAAACATAGACTGATATTTGTCTAATGTCTAATGTCTGTCCTTTACGGAAGTAGCCTATATACGTTTCAATACATGTATTTTCTGAGAATTTTTATTTCAAGTTTTGACTGGAAATGTCATGTCCATAATGCTGGACTTCCCCAATTTTAAATAATTTATCCTCAATAGTTTGGTGGTGTAGGTCTATGTATTTTATAATGTTAACTTCAAATAATACTAATAGCCTAATTTAAAGATAAGGCAGCATTGGATCTGGACGGTAAGGAGAATAACGCTGGAGTTGGAAGAGGTTTGTCGCGATTCTGTAGGTTCGTGGATCTGAGTCGTGTGGCGAATCGCGATTTCGGTTTCATATTGCATATCGTTAGAAGCCCCAAAGTTAAGTTCTACTTAGTTATTTTGATGAAAGTAACTCAAAAGTAATACATGAGTAATGTAACGCATTACAATTCTGAGACAGTAATATTGTAAGGTAATGAATTACTTTTAAATAACAGTAACAAGTAATACCTAATGTATTACAGTTTGGAAGTAACTTGCACAACACTGTATATATATATATATATATATATATATATATATATATATATAATGTTTTATTATTATAAAAGTTAATATTTTATTTAACAATAATAACATAATAACATGTAAATTTTTTTTACAATAGCTCAGGCTAGTAGCTATGATGACATATCTTGTCTAACTAATACTGAACACAGAAATAAAAAGACTAAAGACTCACACTTCCCCGAGAGAGCTGTCAAGATAGAAGATTAGGCTTTTAAAGTTGTTATCTTAACTTTAGCATATGAAGAGTTCAGATGCAAAAGCCTCTAAAAGCCATTTGAAATTTTCTTCTTTAATGATGATTTTTATCAAACTTGTATATTTAAGTTCAGTAATTTCACTTAAATGGCAAAGATAATTACCTATTAATTGTGAAATTACTGAACTTAAATATACAAGTTTGATAAAAATCATCATTAAAGAAGAAAATTTCAAATGGCATTTAGAGGCTTTTGCATCTGAACTCTTCATATTTTAAAAGGAAGTAGTTAATTCAACATCACAGCACTCTGTGCAGGAACAGTGTGTGGGTGAATAATCACAACATGTTGTGACTGATGGCGCAGCTTGACATTCTTTTGCTGGGGAACTCATAAGGGTCATGGGGTTGGTCATTAGGATTGCTTCCAGAAGGATCGAGGGTAGTGATGCTTTCCAGTGACAGTACTCACTCTGAAAACTAACACAATGAGTCAGTTTTCAGAGTCGCATATGGATAGATTTATTTTTAAGATGCTTCTTAAACAGATCAAAATAAAGTTCTTCACATTCTTACCATTCAGTCTTTTCTGGACTGACCCTCAATGACTCTGAACAATCACAGATTTTGTCAGGCATCTCCACGGGTACAAACTGCACTGAAAAAGATCATACAGTACATGTGAATTATGATGATTTGTATTGACTAAGTCATATAAGATTGAAATGGATTGATAGTAATGATGCACATTGCTGAAATAGTACCCACATGCTCAAAAAGCTGACTGACTAAGTATTCAAATAAATTTGAGATCAAACAATAAGAGACAAAAAGGCATCATAATTCTGTGAATGAGATATATGTTGTACACACACAAACCAGAACTTACCGCAATGGGAAAGAGCCTTATCCACCATTACATGAAAGTTGTCGGAGGCAATGGCTGGAAGAATCCAGCAGTCATGGCATCTCTGTAGTGGATGCTGATGTCACTTTCAGCACAGAAGAAGGGACGTGGTCGACAGTCACATCAGACAGTAGCTGGATTTCTCACACACTTTTGGCAGTTTTTTTTTGTGCCAGACAGGGTCTCTCTGCCCTCCACCTCTCTGAAAAGAGACTTTGTCATGTGCTCTAGTTCGAAGAGGCTAGAGGAGGTGAGGTCTCATCACCTGAGGATTCACTCAGTGAGTGCTGGAGATCTTGTAATAAAGTTTCAAAAACAATAATTTCCTTCATTGTATTTTAGAATATTAACCATTAGTGTACCAAAAGTAGGTTACCATTGAGGGGCTTTGGCTGTGTATGTATGTAGATACAATGGCTAATGAAAACACAACGAAGTACACACCAACAGTCTCTGGAGCAAAGAGCACAGTTAGTGTCAGGAGCTTTGAAGGGAGGATCAGTGTTCTGAATGTGATCAGCTGTAGAGAATAAAAACAACACAAATCAACATTTATGACATTCAAATTTCCAACTTGTCCCAAGGCTATAGCGGCACATTTTTAGCCTGGTTACCAGCCTGAAATGGTGCAAGCGCACGGCTTGACATATAAAGAAAAAGACTTGTACACTTTTTATTTCCCAAACCCTAACAAGGACAGTCCAATTACTGCTGGTTATCTGCCCATAATGTGTAATGTAGATGATGACAGCAAATAGAAATGCTTAGAAGCAGATTAAAAGAAACAAGCTGGCTGGCCATTGACAACACACTCAGAAGAACAAACTGTTTCAAACAGCCTAGCCAAGACCAATAACTAGAAAGAGATTTAGTATGATAACCAGGCTAGCACATTTTACTGCATAACTATAACATTGACAAGATTTCCTGACAATGTCATTACAGCCCCACAATTAAACTTTTTTGTAGTTTATACTGCTTTACGCAAATATGTAATATTAACCTCAATGTATCTCTTTCACTAAATCCAAGAGTAGTGACATCTTTAATAAATCTTCTTTTTATGTCAAAAATAAAATGATTGGTTCTGGTTTGATTGTTTCCCTGACATATCAAGCGTGTATTCCTTGATTTGATAAGTACCAAAACAATGTAGATCTTCAAAATATCAAAATATCTGTAGCCTATGTGATACTGATTTTTGTACAGTTCCACAAACAAGAAGTTAATGTTGATAATTACATTTCTGAAAAAAATTATAAAAACAAACATTTGTCAATAATGAATGTTTTGCTCAAAGCAGCAAAACATCTAAAAAAATCTATGAACCAGTTAATAAGTTATGACAGCATTAATTATTAATTATACATATTAATTGTTTTATTTCATCTTGAACAAGAGATGAGCCACAATGATTTTATTTTATTATAGACAATATTTGGGTTTATTATATAAATGTATGTGGATTTGAAACAACTACTGGGCTGGAAAACAAACCAATCTGGAAACACTGACACTGTTCCTCTTCTGAACATTTATAGCGTTGGCTAAAGTGGCTTAATAGTTCATGAGCCATTTAATACTAAAAAAATCTTGCATTCCCCACCCTATGATTGTGCCTTGCATGATAATATGCACAAACAAATAAATGAAATGGTGCAGCAAGGCAAGCTATATTTGTATAAAGTCATTTACCGTCATCAGAAATTGCCACCATACACTTAGAACACTAAAGGTTCTAATTAAAAAATATGAGGTTGATGACAATATCAATATCAATAGCATATTCTATATTTTCTAAATGTTCTATAAATTGTTTCTTAAAAAAGGGAACGGAGATTATTTAGTTCATAGTTAGTAGAAATAGTTTTTGAAGTTAATAGCATGCCGTTAAGAGTTGGGCTTGCACAATAACGCACTCTGTCTCTGGCCTGTCATACAAGTCTGCAAATTTGCTTTTCGGCATTCCTGTGTCCTTTGGCAAAACTCTTTGACAGGCTAATGCAGTTCCCTCAGAGTCTCCTCAATTCTGTAAACAAATCAAGAGAAGATTGAGCGCTCTGTAAATTACTCTCGATGTCGAGGATGTCAATCACATTGAACTGACCAAAATCTTGCCGAACATGTCTCACCCTCTGCTTTCTTATTGGACGACGTTTCTTGAGCATGATTGGTCAGTTCAGCGCCGTCAGTAGTGTTGTGATATCGCGATATTTCAGGCATATGTTCTCTCGCTGCAGCGCTGTAGCGGGCTGAGTGTGGGTGCTTGACTGCCAGTGGAGCCACCGTCTCTCTCTCAAGCGAACTGCAACCTGAGACATTGACTGTTTACATTGCCTTTTAACTTTTGAAGGGCCCGTGGAACAGTGTGCTCGAATGTTTCAAAGGTAAGCGAATACTGCTTCTCTGCTTCTTGGCGAATAGGAGTGTTTTTGATCATTTATTTGCAGTGCTAACATGTCGACAGTGCGGTGCCTTTCAGTTGAGCACCAGGACTGCTAACAGCTAGTCTCAGTCATTCTAGTTCGTTAAACTCTTAATTGCTGAAAATCAATAAACGACCAACTCTAGTTCCCATAGCAACATCGCCGTACTTGTCCCTTTGACAGCGTGTCCTTGCGACTGTCGGGGAATGTAAAGAAGTTCCTCTACCATTGCTAATCAGTGCTAGTGTGTATTAAACAGAGTTTAAAGCTCACATTTGTGTGATGACAGCTCCGTAACATTGTCAGAAGAACAGAAACGAGCTCTTCTATCTCTTCACGGTCTGTCAGTGTTTGTCTTGCGTGTACGTGGCTTGTGCTGTAATATATCAGTGATCGGACACTGCTCTCTCACTGAAAATGAATCCTTACAGGATTGCCTCGTTTTGGCTTATGGTTTTGTTTACAATATAGTATAGATACATTGATTAGTACGTTTTGTTTGAATATCTGCTTTTCACAGAAATGACAACGGTTATTTGTGCTTTTATCAGCTGAAGTGGTCCTTGGCATAGTGCACAGATTGTTGAATGAGCACATACCTGAAAATGGTATTATTTGTTTTGTTTACTATTGTATTATAAAGGTGTACACGGTACTGTTTTCATAATTAAAAAAAGTTTAGTCAAGAAATCTAATTAATAAAAGATAAAAAAAACTTAGACCTAGACTATAGATAAGTCATAAAAAAATAAAAATAAATCAACATGTCAACACACATTCGCCATGAGGGGACATCATATTACCAGCTCCAGTCGATAAGATCATAGCAACTACATCAATACTAAGTCTTCTTTATTTATTACATTGATCAATACGATTGGACAATTGCGGTGAGATATTTTCCAATATTCGCTGTTGTGCACAGTCTATTAATTATTAGACCACTCATTCGGGTAACTGAACCTGCTTAAGTGTTAACTTAATTTAATTTAATTTAGTGTTATTTGATATACTTTTTTAATTAACAATTAGTAGCCATTTTTGAGTCCCATTTCTATTATATTTCTATTAATAACCATTTAACTATAAAATAGATATTTTAGAATAAAAAAAAATATATATATATATATATATATATATAAATGATATACTTTTAAATTAACAATTAGTAGCTATTTTTATGTCTCATTTCTTATTACATTTCTATTAATAACCATTTAACTATAAAAATAGATATTTTAGTACTTCAACTTGCACTTATTTCAGTTAGTTTTCAGGTAACATTAATAATGTTCTTACATTTTTTTCCCATCTATATAATATTTATATTTTATTTTAATAAAGTTCCACAAAAATTAGCATCGTAAGTAGAACAACCTTTTAAAATAGATTTTATACTTAAGCCTTTCAACCTGAAAATGTGAAAATGGTACACAAGGTGCGAAATCATTCTGGTGAAAGGAGTCAGGTGTTGTAGTAAAGGACGTTTATAGCAAGAATGTTATGAATAGTTCTGTGTATTGTTTCAGATTGCCACTATAATAGCAGCTAGCACCCAATTTGTGAGTATGCATGCTGGGCTAACAGTATCATTTGTGCATGGCAGACACCTGGAGCTGTAACAAATTGGCTGCGGTATGGGCTTTACATTAGCTAAGTGCTATCTGAAATGGCTACATGAGTCGGTTATAGTTTCAGGGATCAGATGTTCAAACTGGACAGAACAGAGTCATCATTTTTGAGCTGTGTGGAATTGGCAAATTATCCATCTGATAGCCTCACTTGCAGAAAAGAGTCCACTAAGGTAAGATTTGTGGAACAATTTTTTTTTTAGTTCTAGGTTGTGCAAGCTCTGCTGTCTCCAGACAGAAACACATAGATAGTCTGTGCTGCTCTTCTTCAAGTAGAGAGCCTGGAGTCACCACTCGGGTGTCAATGGGACAGTAAAAAGTAGGTTAAGTCTTCATTTATGTGATGTAAACGTTTGTGATGTTTGTTTTTCAATGAACTTTGAAATGTTTCTCTTGAATAATGTCTTCATTTGTGTACTAGTAGTAATGTGTTAAAAACAAAATAAATGATTTAGTGATAAAAATTATAAGGGAAGAAAAGCTCTGGGTTTGCTGTGCTTGTTTATAGGGCTGCACAATTTGCACAAAAATGGTTAGAGCACATTGCGTTCCCAATGTTCCCAGTTGCGTTATTTTACGTTATAAGCAATCCAAACTCAGGGCTGATGCAGAGCTGATGATTTTAAGAACACAGACAGTACATTTATTTATTTATTAATTCACAGCCTTTGTTATTTGATAATCACACTAAGCCATATCACGATTTTGTTTTTATTTTGATTAATTGTGCAACACTAATAGGGAGGGAGAGTGTCCCTGACTTTAATAATGTGTCTGTATTGTAACCTGTAACTGAGGCAAACAATTCTCAATGGCTATGTCACGTTCAACTGTCTCTGATCAGCTTTAGCATATGCAACACAAATAAATGAATTAAAACAATCTAAATCCATTTCTCATATAAGCACAACAAGTCAGTCTCTTGTGATAAATAAATACCACCTTAAATTTTCCCGATCTCTTGCCTTACTTGTCTTTTTTAGCAACCTTTTATCACAACTTAACAAGATTACTTCAAACCCCCTATAGTTCAGTTTGATTAAGAGGCATATGATATTTTGTCACACTAATTATAGTGGAAGGTACTTGTGAGAATTCAAGTTGATTTTGGCCAAGGGGGAAATTTGGAACACAAAAGAGTGTAGTAAGAAAATAGGACAAGTAAATTGGCAAGAGCTCGAACCTATTATGAGTCCTGGTTTTCGAAAGGCCGCTGAGAGTATGTTGATGTTCAGCTTCTGTGGCTGCATTGTTATGTGGGTGGAGGAAGAAGACCTTCAGCTGTTCATAACAATAAAGCACTGTCATAGTCATCATGTGGGGAAGTGTCTACATTAAGTCACTCCAGAGAATGCTTTCAGGCTACTATACTATTAGTATTTTGTGCTTATTTATTTTCTATGCAAAGCCTTTTGAATTTCCATAGTGAATGAAAAGTGATATAAATGAATTTGCCTCGCTGTTGCCTTGCCATTAGTAGTATTCAGGCTTCTATTGAGAAAGCACTATTCACTTGTTATAAAAAAAATAGTATGTTGATTTGGAAGGCATTGTGTGTGTCATACTCAAGCTGACAGAGTCTGTTAATGTATGGTTCTCTGTGATATTGTTGTAAGCAAGCACATGGCCAGGACCTCCTGTGGGGACTAATAACAGTCAAATGTGGGAAGGTGGTCCCACTTGGCCCTTGGCTGGACACTTCCTGAGCCCTTGGACACAGGGGCACTCGTAATTTGGATCACTTGGATGCTCTTGATGACTGGAGAGCGGGCCAAGGAGTAGTTGTGGTGCAGGCCCTCTGCCAGCATCGCTAATCCACCGCTGCCGCTCTCCCCCCCCCTCACAGGAAGGTTTAAAGGAAACTCGAGCGAAAGCTTGCTCTACCGAACTGGGACAGAAAACACTGAGTATGTAAAGGGCGCTAATGGATTTCAGGCATCTGAGATCAATAACACCAGGAGACAGAAAAGGTTTATGGCTTTCTTGTAACCAATATGCTAACTGTGTTGCTTGCTTTGAAATTGACATTTTTCTCAATTGAGGAATAGAAGGTTGTACTTCAGCGGGGTGTATGTTCTTCTGTTTGTTTCCTATGAAAGATAATAGACATTATTTTTGCAGGGTGTGTATTTTGAAGTAGGGGCCGCTTTTAAAAGTTGAATTCACTATCTTAATAGCTTTTTCATTTGCTGTAAGTACAGATTGTGTGTTTTGTATAGTGAGATACTCAATTCTTTTCATTGTTTTGTATATTTTGCACCAACAAGTGCACTGTGTTAAAAGTAAACATTGTAGAACGCAAGTAATTTGTCATTTTGAGATTCAAATGATATAAGGCTGAAATACACTACACAACTTTTGCCCAGATTTTTTCTTCATTTTAGACAAACTGTTAGTTAATCTAGCTCATAGTGTGTTTAAAAATGGTTTTAATAGTCGCCGATTCCAGCCTACGGTTGGACTGAAATTCTATCTGTTCATTTTTAGCAAATTTGGAATATCAGACCTATCAGGCATGTAGCCTACACGACATGGTTGGTCTCGCCATTGTGAGCTTTCTCTGATTGGCACATTGTGTAATGTATTCTTAAGTAGAAGGAACAATGCTGTTGCTTGCTTAAAAGTGCAAACTGTCACTGGGGCAACTGGGTTTCATTTCTTCTTTTATTCTGGTCAGCAAGAGCAATAAACTTCGTCTTGACCGTCCCTCACTTTCATGTCCCATTTTCAAATGTGCATTGACAAACCTTGATCTTATTATTTTCCTTGGGCCGTCTTTTTTACCTTTTAGCTCTACAGCCAGTGTTGGCAGTCAATGCTGGATAATTTCCGTCTGTTTGGTAAATGACAGTCATCTCATACCTTAAGGTCTTTTAAGCTCTGAATGTCAGAGGCCTTTAATGAAGCCGTTTTAGTGCAGTGCTGCATTGTGGTTTTTTTTTCAGATCTGGTTTGCTTCTCTTTGAAATGCTGTCTTCTGTAGACCACAAATTGGTTGTTAGATTCCTGACTAAATTGCGACTCAAGTGCAGAAAATGTCCTTTTTTATTTGTTTATTTTAAAATAAACATGCTCTGCAAGTTTTTCTTTTGGTTTTCTGCTTTGTAGGCTCTAAAAATAATAACAAAATGTTTGTGTTGTAAGCTGAACTTGCAGAGGGACTGTAGACTGTAGATCTTTTGTGCTACATTACTTAGCCTACAGTATGTAAGTGTCATTCATTGTCCATGTGGATCATCAGAAGGGGGCTTGTTTGTCCTGGCAGTTGAGCCCCTTGCTGTGTCACCCGGCACCTCCAGCCCAGTTCGCTTCACAAACACACCCATTCAT